ACATCGCCGCACAACACCATCGATGTGGCTTGCCGCGACGTGCTAATTGCATGAAATTCGTGCCTCGAAGTTCAACCTGGAGACACGCGAAAACAAGAGAACAAGAATTCATGGAAACAAAACGCAATAAAACAAAGAGCTTTCACAACCACAACGAAAACAAAACATAATTGGTCGTTTTTGCGAAGAAAACAAAATGATAAAGGAACAAAATTTTGAAGCAAAACGCAATCACACAATAAAGAAAAAAAGCCCACGTCGTTTGCCCGCTGGTTGGTGGTCGAACTTTGTGCCCTCTCGGACTCCTCCATAAGAGCGGTCAGTCAAAATTTCGACTGGGTGAAACGTGTTGTGAGTAAGCGTAATGATGGTGCCAGCGCTGCCGAAATCGGGAAGAAGGGCGCGGCCGCGTGCGTGTGCGAATTGGTCTTGGCACCAGACGGAGCCTTCGCGCCCATACACGCTTCACGACGTCGTTCCGGTTGATGGTTGCGCGCTTGAGATGCTAGCAGCGATCATCTTCTGATGGCCAAACGTGGGCGTAGTTACAGCAGTGGCTGAGAGCCTTCGTGTTCATCGATGCTCTGGGAAGCGTGAGCACCACACAGCACTCTTCCCGGGAGAGCTTGCAAAGTCCTTCGCAGCGCTGCGCTCTTGACTTTTTATTAGAGTCTTGTCGTTGTCAAGTTTTGCGAACAGCTCTCTTTTACTCAAGCTTCCTGGTCTTTCTTTGAAGATGTCTTTTGTTTTCTTTCGCCGGGCGCAGCGTTTCGCGCGGTAACATAGCGGCGCGCGCGGAGCGCACGCTGCCAGCGAACAAAAAACGCGTTTTTCCGTTTTTGCTTTCCAACCTCACTCAAACCTGCTTTCCCAAACCCAGAGTCTTTTTCAGTCGAGTGTGACCACATCCCTCATTTCGCCTGCCACCTCTACCTGCAGTACACGAGGTTTTTTGGCGTGGGCGGGCCTCAACGACAGCAAGTTGCTGCACTCGGTCCCAGCAAGAACTACAAGAAGCCAAGAACTAAATAAACTGTACAAAGAAGATAGAACAAAGGTGAGACAGGCCGCGACTAGCAGACTTAGCCGGCAGACGTCGTTCGGCAATAAACGCAAAGCAAGCAACTACCCCGCTCAGATGCCCCGCTTCCCAGTTACACTGAGTTGCGCAATGGCACACGCATGAACCCCCATCGTATGGAGGCGGGCAGCATAGGATAGCCCTCCTGTTCACTGTGCACGGGCCCAGCTTCCCATCGGGTTCGCAATGGCAAGACACAAGGGCCAGGCGCAGCATGTAGCATCCGAGCATCAGAGAGAAGCGAGAGCACGCCCAGTGGTAAGTGCTTTGATTGATGAATTCAGGCCCAGCTTCCCACCAAGGCAGGTCTCGCAAGGGCGGAGTCGCAATTTCCTGATAATGGAGCAAACCAGGCAGCAGTGTGTACGCCATGCGGTACCATGGGCTGCGTGCAATCAACGGGACACACCTTCAGCCGTCTGGTCACTTGGCTGAGCATCCCAAGAAAAGCACACATGCCACGGCAGTGGGGCGCTGGTCTGCAATCCAACACAGCCCAGCTTCCCACCGAGGTGGGCCTCGCAAGGGCGAACGGAGCAGCATGGTACCTGCCGTGCTGGCCAACCAGCCTCGTCATAGCACCACGCGAACAGCCCAGCTTCCCACACATGGGTGTCGAGATGAGCAAACCAAGCCCCCCAAGGGGGAGGGAGAGTTGGCCCCGAGCTGTGCGAAATTGCCCAAGCCCAGTTCCCACCACGGTGGGCCTCGGGCCAGGACTAATCGGAGCAAGAAGAGTCCCTGCAATGTGGGACGCAAATCGGCAGCGGAGGTCGCAGGCGCGTAAGCGGAAGCCCATCCAGTGGTTCCATGGTAAAGTGAGGCAGCCTCATCAATCCAGGCCACCCCACAGCCCTGTCAATTAATGCCGACTGAATGGCCTCAGCACGAAGGAAATCCGAGCCCTCGTGCAGCCCGAGGACGGCCCGATAGACAAGGCGCGACGCCGATGCCACCACCACTAAAGCCTCAAGATCGATTTGGACAATAGTGGCGCGCACTTGAAGTCGCACGATCAATTGGAAATTCGTCGCGACCCGGAAGTCATCGAAAGTGCGTTGCGCCAAGTATGCAGCGACTCGGCGTTGATACTCTGCAAACTGCTGTCGAAGAGCGAGGCCAGCTGCCTTGCGCTCCTGCGTACCAATGGCGCAAAGTAACTGCCAAGTGGCAGCCGATGGTGGGGCCCCAAAAAGCACCGGCAGCGAATGCACCGAAACGTACGTGACGACTTGTGCCACAAAATCCTCCGGAATCGTGGCCATGGCTGGCCACCTAACCTGTACACCCCCAATGGTTGATTACGAGTGGCGCCTCGGCAAAATGAAGGGTGATCTGCTGCGCGACTGTTTGCACCTGGTGTTTGCCTGCCCGGCACGATGCCTAGATCCCGGCTTCATGGTTGCATTGGGGCTCAGGCAGCGACATACGTCGCTTGCCAGTGGGAAGGGGTGTAAGGATGTGACAGGGAGTAGCGGCCAGCGCGTGGATGTTGAACTGTTCCCCACGAGCTTAGTGCTCGGGGGGGTTGGTACGGACGCCCATCGGCCGATGTCGCTTCCTGTCGCCTCCCTGCAACATGCGATTGCCCGCCTGAGGCACGTCCACCTCCAAATGTATGAGGGTTACATGCTTGTCCAGGTACTTCCGATCTTCGCGGTGCCCCGCAGTACACTGGCGGTGTGCAATTTTCACTGGTAGGCTATATTGCGATGCTCTCTGAGCGGTTTGAATACATGGCTTTTCACTCGGAGTGGCCGGTGGTTGTTTGCTCACATGACCAGGTTGCTGGCCGCCGTCTTGTGGGCCTCCTTGCCGGGCGCCTGAGTGTCCGTACGGGCGTCGCTAAACGCACGCCGCTCGATGAGCGCAATGCCGAATTAAGCTCAGCATATGGCTTTCAGGAGCTCCCGATTTGCGCAGACTTGCATCCCTTTGCGCAGATGCCAGATGTTCCGCGCACCTATAAGCCGACAGTGCCGGTCAATCTGGGCAAGCTGGCTCGCTATGCAGTGTGGCTCTGCACTGACCCAGCGGTAGTTTGCTGTCACACTCTCTGGTTGTTCACTGACACCGAGGCCTTAGAGGAGTATGACCACACACGATATACCCTCCCGCACATTATCAACCGTTGCTGTTGGATAGGCCGTCACCGTGAACGGCACGCGTGTGTCTTCTTCCCACTCAGGCGAGAGTCGGGGTTGGATGAGGCCGTTGTTTGGTGGGGTAAGGTCTATGCGCTGTGGGCTACGAGAGCGCTGCTTCCTGGCAAACACATCATTCTGTCGGACCATGATGCTGCGCCTACGGCGTTGTTTGAGGTGGCTGACCTGCAGGACCTGTGCCTGGACTCGCAGGATGTGCAGGCTTCTTCCAATGCCCTGCTCATGCCTGCGCCTGATGATTCTTTATGGTCCTTCGCTCCGACGGAGCCCATGCAGGGCAGCGTGTGCTGCCACCGCTCAAGGGAATGCGTTGGCGTCGTATTTATCACGGAGCCTTCCACAGACGCCCAGGGTGGGTTCTCCGTTTTCGCTAAGGAGCCCGGCTGTCGTCATACTGACGTAAGCCTTTTGCCGCACCGAATGCGAGACACCAACACCTGGCAAGAATATGTAGATGCTTGCGAGTGTGAGGAGGCGATGGGTCCTGACCTTTCGCGCCAGCTCGGATCATGGTACACCTTATGGTGCTGCTGCAGCTTCTCCTCGCTTCTCCTATAGGAGTAGCCCTTTCCGACCTGGGCCCGGACCTCATGGACCTCCCCCACCAAGGCCGGTGCTGGTGGTGCCAGCAGCAGCTGCCAAGGCTGGAGAGGACCCGCGCCGCAGTGGGTCTTGCAGGGTGAGGACTTGGACATGGCCAAAGCCCGGCTGGGATCGCTATACCGACAGGAGCTGGATATTGTCCATCCCCACGACTCCAAGCGACAGCGAGCAGGTCGCCTCTCCTGGTACCAGCGAGATGTGGCCAGCTGCACATGGCATGCCTATCTCACCAACGAGAGATATGCTAACTGGGAAAACTGGTGCACGACCAATGCAAGAGGCCACCGTGCGGCAGGGCAACGTAGGGAGTAATGCCTCCAGCTCTCCCAAGAGAGAGTTGGCTGGCGACCGGCCGCTGCCATGGCGACCGCGGCTCATGAGAGGCCCCTGCACCCCGTCCTTAAACGTAGGCGACGATTAGCCCGTTGGGTTTTAAACCTCCCTGCCCTAAGCCCGAGTAAAGCCTGGCAAAGGCATCGCATGCCACCGCGTGCTGATCTGCAGAAGCCCGAGCCACCGCCGGACTGGCCTGCAGGACGGTTGTCACACTGCCAAGCCACCTCTTCCCATAAGGCTCATAGCCCGCATAGTTCCTTGCCCCACCCGAAAACATTCCACTGCAAATCAGGGGGTTCCAAACTCACCGTAGGCCGTCCCGGTCCCAATGCCGGGAGCAGTAGATACCGCACATCATTCCTTTGGATGTTCATTCAAGCTACTGCAGGGGCGAGGGTTTCCTCCACTGCCGTGATGGAGGAGGGACCTGCTTCTCGTCCTCGAGTTGCAGGGAAGCGACACGGCACAGCGCCAAGAGAAGGCCACAATATAGGATCCCGACTCCCTGAAGCCACCAAAAGAGCATATCGTCGTGCCAGGAACCGTGCAGCCCGTTCCTTGGAAGGCGGGACCTTCTACCGGGGACCCGACACCCCACCATAAGAGTCTTTAGCTGGAACACGGGAGGCCTTTCGGGCCCTGCCTTTCAGGAACTAGTTGCTTGGTTGGATTCAGAAGCCACCTTTGATGCTGTCATCTTGCAAGAAACTCATTGGCAATCAAACAGCGACTTTAGGAGCGGCAAATGGCTGTGCACTCATTCCTCTGGCTATGATTCGAACTTAGCAGTGGATAGACATGGAGGCATACTCATAATGCTGCGCCAGGATGTCTTCCATGATCCTTCGATCAATGAGATATATCCGGGTCGCTTGTTGCATGCCCGAGCCCTGCACAAAAAGAGTCAGCTCAATGTGGACATCATTGGTCTCTATCAACATGTACATCGTCCCAACCTCACGCCCGATCTCAATCAGAAATACAGAGCCGATATTTGGAGCAAACTCACTGCCCTTATCAATCACCTACCTCAGAGAAACCCGCTTGTACTTGGAGGAGACTTCAATTCGCAGCTGGCTGCTTGCAGACCCCATGTTGGGGCGTCCCATCTTACTGAAGGCCAGAAGGGGGATAAGCAACTGCATCGTCTTCTTGAGTCGTGTGACCTGTGTGTGCTGAACAGCTGGCATGCAAATCCGGGTCATACTTACGAATCATCTTCGAGTCGTACAAGAATCGACTATGTAGTTACTAAGCTTGCAGATGCCAAAGGCCAGGCCAGACATGCAAAGCCCAACCATCTTTTCCCCGTCAAAGCCTACAGTCTCGCGGGACACTGGCCTGTGGAGGCCACCATCCCGGTTGTGCCGTTCTGCAGACGGCCGCCGGAGGGTCAACCGACCCCAACTGCCTTTGCATAGGATGACCTGTTGATTGCATTGCACTCCAACAGTGCAGCAGCCCAGGCCCTACAGTGCGAAGTTGGGGATAGGCTCGCGACCCTTGCGGGCTCCTCACATGATCTGCTGCTAGTCCGCAACAATATCAATCAGATTCTACTTGATGCAGCTGTGCAACACTTCCCGCCCAGAAGTGTGCCGGACAATCGAATCAGTGCCCAGGGTGTCTTCCGTGCCTCAGCGAAGCACACCTGGCAACTGTACCGGGTGCTCAAGGCGCCCCGCATTACCGTGCCGCATTCTGTCTTCCTTAAGTGGAGGGAAGCCTGTGCCTTTGTCAAGGCCTCCAAGCTGCTTCGAGAGCAAAGTCGGCAACTCAAGCGAAAGTCCCTGTTGGACAAGCTCGCTGAAGCTGAGTCAGCTGCGGCCAAGGGGGACCAGCGTGTGCTTCACAAAATTGTGCGAAGCCTGGCTCCCGGAAGCTGCAAAATCATCTCCCGTCTGCGAGACCCGCAAGGTCAGCTTCTCGGGAAAGAGGCTTCCCTTCAAGCCATGCTGGCTTATGCCAAGGACACCTTCTGTAGTATGCCAGATGTAGACAGCATCATGGTTCTGCAAAAGGATTGGCCCCACACACATCAGGAGGTTCAGGCGGAGCTCCAGAAACTTGGTTTCTTCAAGGCTGTGCCGCAGGGTGTTGCTCCCGCCGCCCTTTGGAAGTGCTGTGCAGGCGCAATCGCACCTGTCCTGAACGAAGCCTTCCAACAGCACTTCAAGGCGGGCAGCAGTGAATGCCTTAAGGACAAGCTACATGACGCATTCATCACTCTCATCCCTAAACCCACCAAACCACCCACAGCTGTGGAAAACATGCGACCCATTGGGCTGCAATGCCCCAGCGCGAAGGTCATTGCAGGGGTCCTTAGGCAAACTCTGTTGGATGTACTTCTCCCTTTGGTTAAAGATCTTCCTCAGTATGCTTACGCGCGCCAGCGTGGCACTTTCGATGCAATTCTCAGGGGGGTCATATGCATTTTGAGGAAGCACGTATCTTGCTACGAACCAACTGTGTTGATCGATTCCAACAGTATGAAGGCAAAAGGAAACTGGCCTGCATCGGAGCCTTGAGTCTTTCCTTAGATCTGTCGAAAGCCTATGACCTCACCAGCAGACCCATTGTCTACGGCACATTGGCCGAGCATGGGGTGGATCCGGACACAATTCAGATCATCCAACAATTGCACCTTGATGCCCAGTATGTTTTTCGTGCCGGGGATAGCACCAAAGGGCAAACCACGACTAATGGCCTAAAGCAGGGATGCTGCATAGCTCCCTTCCTCTGGAGCTTCTATACTGTGGCTCTCATGCATGCACTGCGGAACAAGTGGCTTCAGCGAACCCTTGTGCTGTTTGCTGATGATCACTGGTGCCACTGGCTCATCCGGTGTCGTCAGGACTGGCAGGATGCGATTGCACAATTGGTGGTAGTCTTGGAAACCTTGGTGTCCTTCAAAATGTCCATCAATTATCGAAAAACTGCGATTTTAGTTCGACTTGAGGGCAAACAAGCCAAGGCAATAATGTACGAATATACTCGTCTTAAGAATGGGGTTAGGCATCTCGTTGTCACTGTTCGTGGGCGAGAGGAACTCATCCCCATAAAAGAAGAGCACGAGTATCTTGGCACAAAGGTCACGTATCATCACCGACTTGACAGAAACCTCAGCCACCGCATGCAAGCTGGACAAGCTAAGTACCAAGCCATCCGGAAGCCCCTAAACGGTCATCATCACCTCAGCATGCGACACCGAGAGAGACTGTGGCGAGCCTGTGTCTCTACCAGCATGTTCTACTCCTTGTCGGCCGTAGGTGTTACCCAGCATGGCCTGGACAAGCTCACAAAGGCCTGCACTCGACATCTTCGAGCCATCCAGAGGCAGCCGGCTCACCTTACGCATACCCCCAACACGGCCATCTGGCAACAAGCCAAGATGGACATGCCAGGCCGCACGCTCCTCAACGCCTTGATCAACTTCCGCGCGGGCCTCCAAAAGAAAGCAGTCATGTCACCTGACATCACAACGCAGCAAAATATCCTAGATCACTTGTGCAGCCTGGAAGCCCAGCTCCAGCACCAGGTGCAGCAACAGGAGCAGCATGATGCCAACGTGTCAGACTCTGACGTCCCACAAATTCCGCGCCCTGAGTGTGATGCCTTTTTCCTGACGGAAAATGCCATGCGCATCCATTGTCAGGTCAGTCACGGCATTCTTCCTCCACGGGCAGCTTGTGAGCCCACCAAGTTTGTCCCCCGGCTTCATGCCTGTGGTGGTCTCCCGAGATGCCAGCTTTGCCTGAGGTCCTTTTACCGCTGGCAAAACCTCAAGCAACACATAGAAAGTGGAGCTTGCACGAAGCTCGGAGGCGAAAGCCAGAGTAAATGCCCGGACTCCTGCCGCGACTCCCAGGTCACGGACCTGTGTCTTCCGACGGCCTCTGAGCCGACAGATGCGGATCATGGTATAAAACAGAATGTGCCTCTTGTAGATCGTCAGTTCTTTCGCAGCAAACAGCATGACTGGGAAAGCCTCCTACGGGACTCCGCTCTACGTGTCGAGCTCAGGTCGCATTGCAGCCTCTGCCACATGTGGGTTGCCAGCTTCACTCATATGAAACAGCACATGCAGATTCATGACACTGAGACCCCGGGTCTACACAAAAGCACCCTAGAACTGTGCCATAGCTTCAAGAGCCAGCTGGTCCGTGGACGCACTTGCCCCTGGTGCAAAGGCAATGTAGGAGCCCCGGGTCGACATTCCCAGCAGTGTGTCATTCTCTATCAAGTGTGCGCTGCACGGCTCTGCTACCAATGGTCTCAGGTCACTGCTCGAGGCGACAGAGGTGAATCCGGAGGCCAGCATCTTCGCCTTTTGCGATCCTTCGCTGCTGGCAAAGGCCAAGCAGGAAACCAAGCAGGAAGTGGAGTTGGATCCGGAGGGCTCTCCCAATCTGGAGGAGGCCAATCAGCCCCCAAAACGCCCACGCCCGGCCGAGGGCAACGAGGACCGAAGCACCACCAGCCACAGCCTCTGATGAATGCCATGGATCCCAACCTGAGGGCAATCATCAAACTGATGTTGCAACACGAGGACACGTTAGCAGCTCAGCGAGTGGACAAGGTGTTCATCGTGTTTGTCAGACAGGATTACGCCAGCATCATCCCCAACCTGCACTCGATCTCTCAGCAGTTTCATCAGAAGACACAGGATGGCAGCGGCGACCCTCAGATCACGTCCCCGCTGCGGACGCCGGACGCTACTCATGGCTTGCTTGATTCGAGAAAACTTAGCCAGGATTCAGAAGATGGTATCCACGAGCGAAGGCCAGGGGAAGCTCCAGGCTGCGGGTTGGATGAACGACCAAGGGGAATGGACCTTCTTGAAATTCTGCCACAATACTCGGAAACTTGTGCAGGACACCTCCCGCACGTGCATGAGCCATCAGGAGATAGTGAGACAGTACACCTTCCTGCTGGAGAACATGAAGGGCGAGATTGTTCAGCAGTTCAACAGCACCCAATCTCTGAAAGTTCTCGAAGCACAGACCGGTCCCAAACCCCAGGCCACGTTCATTCTTCAAATCTCCTTGAGGGGAGAACGCGCCAACGAGATGCACGAGACAATGTGCACACTGTTGGGCAGTGCAGCCTGGCAACTGGTGGGAGTGAGCCTCAAACGCGGGACCCTCAAGAGGTCCCCTCTAGCGGAACAGCTGGCACAGCTGGTGTACGGCCGATGATGGCAGCAGCTGAGCTCGACCTTTGCAGCCCGGGCCTCACCCTAAGCTGTAACGTACCCAACTTTAGTCTCAGCAATCCTGGCAACCACTGCTATGCAATTGCGTTTCTGTACGCGCTTGACGTTGCGGTGCAATGCACTAGCTATGCTGCTCACATGCACCAAAGCTTTCAAAGATTCCAAGGTCAACAGCGGGGTGGAGTCTTTAAACTCCTGGGGTTCTGTGCCTTGGGGTGGCGTGGCCCTGAGAGCCAGCACGATGTTAGTGAGTTTATCGACTTTCTCCATTGGCAACTCCTACCTAGGTCCCTCGAAGGGGTATGGCAGGGACGAAGGCAAACAGAGGCAGGCCACGTGCATATCACGGTGGGCACGCCACTCTCCAAATGCATTGGCTTAGTTGCCCCCCCTAGGCATAGCCCCGACATACAGGATTTAATCAACTTCTGGTCAGCTCAAGAGCACTGCCAGGCTATGGTGGACCCCATGCCTTGGCTTTTCTTGCAGCTTCCACGCTTCCAGGTACGAGGGTAGTCATGTCTCCAAAACCCAGGCATGTTATCGGGTCGTCAGCACACTGAAGGTGCCGCTTTTTGTCGACAAACAGACGCTTGACATAGAGTGGCTGCCCTACCGTGTTGTAGCACTCATCTGTCACCATGGCAACTTGCCCACATCAGGCCACTACACGGCGGCGATGCCCACTCCTGACGGCTTCACGATTCTTGACGATGATCGGAAAAACACCGTGCAAGAGCCACAATGCTTGCCAGCGATTGGACGAACCATGTACATTGTTGTTATTGTCAAAGACGGCCATGCTAGCACATGTAGCGGCACGCTTTGTGAATGTGCCCCTCCTGCTGAGCCTTGTAACACCGCAGCTTCGCACTCTGCCTCAGACCTCAAGGCCTCATCTAGCTCCCATGGCCAGAGTGTGGCTTCGATACATCGATCTTCACGGCGAAGAATGGGTGGCCAGCCAGATGTACCTCCAAGAGGTCCTTCTGCATCAGCTCGTACAGGACCATCACATACTGCAGCAACGACACGACAAGCTTCAGTACCAGATCGAACTTCTGATCCGACAGCAGAATCAGAGGTATTATCACAGCGGGAACAAAATCGGACGAAACAAGTGCCACCACAACATCCTGCCGCAGGTTATCGATCTGGACACAATGGACGAATGAATGCATCTCCGATGTCGTCTGCCTGCAATGCTGGAACTCGTTCTGGCATCAAATGGTACTTTACCAGAGCAGCGAGCTCTGGCTGATGCGGGTACAAATTGCGCTTGTGCATTTTCATTTTCACTCTGGCTACTAGTATTTTCCTGTACAGCGGATCCTGCTTCATAAGCGAGCGGCCTACTCTTATGAGCATTAGTGCTAAGCCGTGCAATCGGCCGGTGTGCTTTTAATCCAGTCACACTGTTGCGCACGCTAGTCGAGAGACCTTCTCACTGCGACGGAAGAAAGATGTTTAAACGCCCAACCCGGACGACTCTTTGCGTCAAGCGCTGAAGCCACATGAGGAAGCCCTCTGCTGGGCAAGGGGCGCACATGAGCAGTGTGCAAACCACCTTAATTGCATTAAACTCGCCCAGTTGTCGAGTGTGCAGCCTCTCTGGGTCCAGTCTTTTTATGGCAAAAACTTTCCTTCCCGATGATCGCTGTGTCGGGCCGGCCTTTGTGCACGGACAGGAGCAGCGGCAAGGCCCCGCTTGCGCCTTGATCGGCTTAGGTTGCTGCCTACGCTCTCGGAGGCCTTGTGGGGTGGAGTCGGGTGGAGGGGCATTCCACCTTGGCGGGCGGTCTCTGGCCTTGGGTTAATGGGCGCCCTTTCAGCGTTGTGGCCTTGGAGCATTTCCCGGAGGCCGGCCGACGCACCACATGAGAACGTGGGCGCGTTGGCGAATTTGGACTCTCTTGCCGGTGGATATCCAACAAGTGGCCGAGACATGCCATCTTCCGCGGAGGAGGCTATGATGACCCTGCAACTTCTTGACAGGGAGCTCATAGCCTTGTTCTACAAGGCCGTCAGAGGCTTCGACCTCGTCCACGCCGATGATGATGAAGGTTCATTGCCTTCTCCGTCGCATCCGCTGAAATCTACGTCGAGTGCTTTGGCGCAAGCACCTTCACGGCGCCGGCCCGCAATAACAGGTGGCAAATCGTTTGCTCCAAGCAATGTTACGGCCCAACTGGGTGTTTGGCGGAGTTCTTCGGACAGCCACAGCTTCGGCGAGGCTTAGCTCGTCTGGCCGTTACACCAGTATACTGCTCTTCTCTTTGCCCGTGATCCAGCTTGCTTATGCTATGCTGTGCCTCAATTATGTTGCCACCCACCCGGAAGTGGCTTCTACCGCAGCTCAACTCCGGCGAGCGTGGCGCAGCTCACACTTGCAGAAGCCGCCTGTCTGGCTGCCCTCTGCATCGCTTTTGCAAGTGTTACCCCAGCACGCCCGGTTCTTCAAGAGTCCGCTGGGGGAGCTGTCTCTTGAGCGTGTGGTGGATTTTTTGCACTTTTATGTCTACAGCCAAGAAGCGGCGCTGGAGAACACTGGACAGGATTTTTTTTTTTGGGCTTGACTGGGCCTCGTCGACTACGGCTGTAGCACTCGGTCCCTACAAACAAGCGAAACTACAATCCAAGCAACAAACTACAACAAAGCGGTGAAACAGCAAAGCGAAGCTCTACAATGGGCTGCGGCGCACAGGCTCTGCCGGTGTTAGCCGTTCAGCACAAACTACGGAGCCTCAGCGACCGGTCAGGAGCAACAAAGAGCCGTCGCTCAGAGCTGCCCAAAACAACAGGTGGGGCCAAGTCCAGGCTGCGGTTGCCGTTCTAGTCTCGCCAGACAACGCACAACCTCTGTGTTTTGTTCCGTCACGATCGTGCACAGTGCACACCAAAGTCCAAAAGTCCAAAGCCCACTGCATGCGTGGGCGGCTTCCAGATAAGAAGTGCGAAGACCATCCAACAGCCAGGGCCACGAAAGCCGTGGCCCAAACTGCAAAGCCTCAGCAGCCCCTATGCATTGTCCCGTCTTGAACAAGCACATCTTAGGTCAGAGCTTAGGTGATGGGTCTCAACTTGGTATCAAAGGTATGAGTAACATGGAGGGTGAAAATACACTTAACGACAAATGTTGTGGGTCGCAACGGCTTCCACAGGGGAAGCGATCACAGACAAAGATGAACCGCCAAACTCCATTTTAGAATCCAAAATTCCAAAGGGCAAGCGTGGCCGGATTCTGCCCTCCTGCCTGCCTTCTGCTGCCTGCCTTCGCGAACGGGGGGTATCGACATGGTGGCAAGAGCCCTGCCTGGTAATTTTTCCTCCTTTAAAAAGTATTGGTGAGCATCCGGGTTAAGGGCATGCAGATGCAGATCGGTGGATGTACATGGAAATTGGAGGGCCCAAGGTCCCTTTTCTGAACAAATTGTCTGCCGCTGCCTTCCAGCTTTTCTGCGCCCAGAAATGCTCTAATCTAACGGAATGCCTGCCACCCGGCAGCTTCTGCGCCTGGTTCTTCTTCCGGGCGACTAATCGGTAAGAAGGACCATCGCTTTTAAGTTAAGTGCGTTGAAATGCGCGAAGCGCCAACAAGCGGGCTAGAAACTGGACAGAAGAACAGACGTACAAGCAATTGAAACGTGAAAGCGCTAGAAGTTGTGCATTGTTGAGGTTGAAACACCACGTTGCAGTTTAGAGCCGATAAGACCTCCAAGGCACAACGCAGAATTTTAAAATTACGATTCTCAACTGTGTTATGGGTTGGAGACTTTGCTGTAACTCTCTCTGGGGAGGGTGTTCCAGCACTCCACTCTGTGATAGCTACAGGCCTCAGTTCAAGACATGGGTCAGAATTCGGTACTTTGGAGCACAGTCGATTCGCGGGCCTACGGCCCGCAGCTCGGACGATCTTAGGGGCTCTAAAGTCTTTGCAAAACGGGCTTTAGGGGTGCTTTTCGCGCGCAGCACTTCGAAGCAGCTTCGTGGTGCTTTCAGAGCAGCGGACAGGCAACTTAAGAGCTACTTGCTGGCAACTTACGAACACTCGCCAGCAGCTTACGAGCTACTTGCTGGCAACTTACGAGCACTCGCCAGCAACTCACGAGCTACTTGCTGGCAACAAACGAGCACTCGCCAGCAGCTTACGAGCTGCTTGCTGGCAACTTACGAGCACTCGTCAGCAGCTTACGAGCTACTTGCTGGCAACTTACGAGCACTTGCCAGCAGCTTACGAGCTGCCTTTGAGCTGCGCCCTCCGCGCCGAACGAGCGCGCGAAGCGCGCATCGCTCCCGAACAGCTCCGGGACCTTCCCAGGTCCAGAGCCGGCTGAGACATTGAGACTTTGAGACAACCGGCCTGGAATCGAAGCGAATGTCTCAAAGTCTCAATGTCTCAGGCCACTCCGGCCCCGGAGCCTCCAGAACCGGTTGTCTCATTGTCTCAATGTCTCAGGCCACTCCCGGCCCGGAGCCTTATCGCACCTTCAAACTGCCTTCGAAGCCGCGCGCTCCCAGTTTGCAAGCACTTTAGAGCCCCTACGATTGCAAGCCCTACGGCCTCCAGCCCTCAAAATCGACAGGCCTTCAAAGTACCGAATTCTGACCTATGTCTCGAAACCAGCCTCGTAGCTGCTACAGAGTGGAGAACTGGAACACCCTCCCCAAGAGAGAAAAAAAAACTATCCTAACCTACTCTATCCTAGTGGGGCATGTCGGGCCCCGGTTGGAGTGATGATCCCGCTTGCGGGTGAACTCCGGCCGGTGGTGGGCGGTCCCAGCGAGTGGAGGTGGTGCCTGACTGGACAAGGCTCAATTGGCGGGTCATCAGTAACCGCCAGCCACCGATGAAGCTCGCGCCGGTCCGTGAGGCACCGGGGAGGCGTCCAAGGAATGGGGCGCCTCTGAAGCCTCGCCGCCAGGCCTGTGTTCCTGGGCGGGATACCCTCTCAGTCCCCCTCCGAGGGGGGCTGTCGGGGGACG